GTGCCAATGCCACGTCCATTTCTGCAATTGCACAATTTCTGGTCATTTCAAGGCGAGGGTACAGGCACAACACCGTTCACACACCCTGAAACACTGTGCACGTTATTGAACAGTACGTGAATGACGTGAATGTGTGACGGCAACTGCCACTAATCTGAGCTTACATCAGCAATAGCGTGCTGCGGAATAAGTGGTACGACCATAATTTCACTACAGACTATCGATGGAAGATAGATTCAGGATGTAAACGTAAACGCGAACGTGACCAAGTACTTCATGGTTACAGCATCGATAAACATTTATTTTTACATAAAACAAAAAGTCACCGACAATGTTGGCAATGTGGTCAAATGCAGTGCGTAAACGAAAGCAAAGGTGGCGGAGTTCAAATGAAAGATAAGCGATGTGTGCAGAAGTTCGTGGCGGGGTTTCTACCTGGAGCCATACAAGGTCTTTCCTCTTGGAGCAGGAGAGAGAAATCCTATCGACTTTTATTGTGAAGTCGTTTCGTTACTTTCGGCAAATTTTTGTACTTGCATCAACGATGGCTCACAGAGACGCACTTTCTTAAGGTGTTTTCAGAAAAAGAAATCAAAAGTATTTTCTCCCGCTACCAAGGGGAAGTATAACACACGGCCTATGGCGAATTGGCCATAAAACCGCGTCGCTGTTGTGACAGTTTTCACCGCGTCGCGTCAAGTTGCCATTGAATAACATCAGGATGGACCCGTGCTACATTGAGATCACATTTGAATAGGCGGCATAATTTTGCTAGTAAATTCTTAGGTCCCTAGGGTTCCTGCTCCCTATTAGAGAATGCAAACGAAAAAAAGGAGTGTTAATGCCCCTCCTTAATGGTAACAACGTGGCAGACGCGCCAGCCACGAACATTCCCACACAGTATCAATCGATTAACAACGGTAAGAAAACTTTAAAACACACTGTATGCTTTTGAAAACGAATCAGTTTTCAATAAAAGATCTATTGCGTACAATGGCTAATAAAGTCGACTATGAGTGGCTATAAATGTACAATATAACATATATTATGCAATAGTATCTAATTAATAATAGTTTAGCTCTTACTCAACTGATAGCTATCCGTATTAAATGTATGCGATTACAAAAGCATGTCTGAGACCTGCAACAAATGAACATAATCTTGTGATCGTTCTCGTCCAAAAGCCAATTAGTAAGAAGCACTTAAATTTGGCGTATTTGTGGAAGGTTGACGGTTTGAGTTATGTGCACGAAAGCAAAAGTACTCCAAGTAGACTTTAATTTCTGATAAGTGGAGTGTGACAAAAGCACACACCGCGCGCCGCGGGCGCGACAACATTCGCGGCAATCGGTCTGAAATTTCAAGGGTGCCTAAGGTAGCACAGAAGTGCTCTGGACCTTGTTCATACTCGGCGAAGTATTAGGCGTGTTCATGTACCCAGCGCTGATTTGGAGAGTCATAGAATCAGGGAGAAAATAAGATATTTCTTGCTTGTTTAGTTTTGCATATTGAGCGTTTGGAAGAAATTTCAGCAAATCCGCTCATATCTGTTCTCATATTGAGTTCTCCAATGGTACCCCATTCTCCAATTCTCGGATTCTCCTATTCGCCATTTATCCCCATTGGTGAGGAAACGCTCGCGCGTATTTTGATGCGCGCGCAGCGCGTACTTTCACAACTATTCGCGTCCACTGAACAAACCGCTACGCGTGTGCCCACGTTCCTTGCACATTCTCTCAAACCTAGCCACCAAAACTGCCACATTTGAACATTAGCAAAAGCAGGACAGGAAAGACATTATACCAAAGGAAACATTTGATGAAAAGTGGACGAGCACGATAAGTACGAAAAGCACCAAAAGGTTCGTTTTAACAGTAAACTACATAATTCCGTTATATGTGCACCGAAATACGTACGAGATGCAAGGCAAGCGTAATTGGCGTCTGGCATTCTTTGTGTTAGCAACACGGCTGCACACTCCTTTTCCAGCCAGGTACACCTGTAACGCAGACCAAACAACACATGTGACGACAGACTCCGCGAAATGTGGTAGTCTTCTGCCACAGAAGTGATAAGCCGATTGCAATTATATTTCATCATTTGTACTATGTAGAGCTATCATTTGTCAGCTATCATCTCACTACAAACTAACTATCACCTATTTTTTGAGGCCTTCGTCACTTAGGTTGTTTGGTCTGCATTTACAGAAGTACTCAGCCGCTGGATACAAGGTTGTTTCCGTACCACGATGGCGACTAATCGGCCCTCACTCCACAACACAAAGCATAACGTGTTTCTATTTGCGTTATAGTTACCTATTATCTCTGTGAAGTCAATCGAGGACAAAGGTCTAATCAGTCCTTTACACATTCGATCTTCACAACTATCAAGGCTAAAAACACCACTTATCGTTAGACTGATTTTGTACTACCAAAGGTCAATTCCAGCGATGATTTGGCCTAAATCAAGGGAAATCATGGCCACATTCCAGTCAAGCCGCTGTATTATCAAGCACCATTTGGCTTTTGTTTTTAGTGCATCTAATGGCGATGAAGCCGTTTCTATAGGTGCAGTAAAACTATTGTCTCTGGGCAGATCAGTGCCAACACGAAATGAGAACGTGCAATGTGCACGATTACATTCACATTCTCGACAGCGTGCCATGGCCAACTAATCAAACCCGATCACATCAATCGTCTATACTAATTGATATTAGAAAGACCGCATATCGGCTGAAATAGTTAGAAAGCACATTGGTTAGCGAAGTTTTTCTTCACGACGGCGCCTGTGCCGTGGAGTTTCACGTCCAACTAGCGCGCACGTACCCGTTTTTTGGCGTTGTACAAGGCGGACAACATTGAGAAGCTATAACTGGCTCAGTAGCAGTACAGAAGCCTGTTACAGTTGTTCGTGGACATCCTTCAGACCAATAAGAAAGGGTCCAGTTCAGGATGATCCTGGGAACAGTGACAGTTGTCGGTCCTTGAGATTCGTGTCCATATGACATTTACAGGACTCTGGACGCAACCACTTTCCATGAACCGTTGCTCACGCGTCTTCTACAGTCAGCACGCGATCATGGACCAAAACCATAGAAACTATCTGGTCAAAAGACGATAAGAGGTATTTACGTTTGCTTGCCTTTATGATAAGTGTAACGACCTTTTTGAGAACTGCTCGTAGAAAAGGGGTCACATTAAAATTAATTCATTTAACTTGAATTATTCGTGTAATGTGGCTCTTTGTGGTCAATTCAGCACATATCTATGCCTCTGAAATTTACTGATTAATAATGGAACTTGCTCCGGTATCGTTTTCTATACAGCACAATTACGAAACAACGTTCCATGGTAATAACAAATGTACCATCTCAACACACTGACAGATTATTCGGAGGTCTGGAATTGTATCGTATGGGTTAAATGGTACAATTGTTGAATTCGTCGGGATGCCAACATTCTCATCGGATTCAGCTGCCCCCTCTTCACTATGTGCTTTAGCCTCGCCTTCCTTCTCTTTGATGCTCCGCATAATTCTCGCGTTTGCTGTTAGGCTGTCTAGCAAGCATTGGATGATTTCGTTCTAGCGCCGCCCACTTCGGCGCACGCTCCCCCGCCGGCCAGATAAAATTACCTCCCAAATCATTGCCGTCACTAACAACAAGACTGACCGTCTCCCCTTCCAAGTCTCATATTAGCTGTAGCGCTTTTATTAATAAATATTTCTTCTCCAGGCTTTTAATATCATATTATGGTTGTGGGCGCTAGGACAGGAGAATCGCTTTTTCATTCACAGCACGAAAAATTCCTGCTGAGGTGATAACTCTTCAGGATCCACCGGACATCAGTGGATCCGGTTCCTCGGCAGCCGACTAAAGTGACCCGAGATTCCCGTTGCAACGAACTAATGTTTCGCCTGCGAAACAACGAAACAACCTTTACTTGTCTCAGTGAAACACACCTCGTCATAAAGACACTGGGCATCATAATTATATAAAAAAAAAAAGAAGAACTAACGAAGAGAACCGATACAATTCGTAACTTCAGAGCCAAAACCGCACTGAGGCAACGTGCACCGAATGGCCCCCCCCCAACTGAAGCACGATCAAATTTAAGCATACAACAGCGGAATTGTGGTACGCTTACTGTACAATCGTGTTAGTAAACTGTTTGTGGTCAAGCATTCCTGTTCACACCAAACCAATGTGGTATTCACGCAGTAGCTGAAGATAATTCAAAGGTAATTACCCCGAAAAAACCTTTAAGTCATATGAACCTACTAAGTGGCTTGTTTGAGCTTCTCGCGCACTGATGGAAGATCCCAGTAGATATTGTCTCGTGCCATTTTCGATCGAGTATCGTTGAATCGATAATCTATGAGTAGCGCGACCGTTGTTATATCTGAAAAAAGTTTTCATCTTCGAGTAGCTTGAAATCCTCCTCAAGAATGACTCATCAATCAGATTTACAAAGTGGTAATTGTGATCGCGGCCGCTTCACTAAATCGATTGGTACGGAATGTCCATGTAAGGAGGAAAAATAGTACATTCAGTTTCACAAAAACCAGCTTCCGCATAGTTATAATGCTCTGATAAGCTTTACCTAAAGTTGCTTTCATACTTTGCGCCGCTATAGAGAGTGCCGACAAGGCGGCGAGCGCGAAAAGCCCCAGTACGGAATGCTGGCGCATGATATTTAGCGCAGTCAGGGGTGCCTTTACAATCAAGTGCGAGGTGTGGTTCGCTAAGACAGAAAGCGACTAATCCGCTTTTTGCAACTTTTTCACTGCGGGAACCCCAGATCCACTCTTGATCGTGGTGGACCTGGGGTTCCCGCAGCGAAAAAGTTTTGCGCTGCGAACAGCGGAAAAGTCGCTGTCTGTCTTAGAACCACACCCCTGTCATGAGGTTAGGTTTCAAAAGATGTGGTAACCTACCGCATGCGCGAGATTTTTAGTAGCACGATGCACCTAATAACCTCCCCTTCAAAAAGCGAGAAAGTGTCGGGTGCAGACCAAACACCACAACTGACGACGGCCTCCAAGTAAATCTGGTTAGAAGTTGTTCATAGTGATAGCTGATTTCTGGTAAATGATAGTTGTAATTAGTGACAATCGATAGAATACAACTGCAACAGGCTAATCATTTCATTGGCAGAAAACATTAACATTTTGGAAGGCCGTCGTCACTTGTGGTGCATGGTCTGCACCCGACACTTTCTCGCTTTTTGAAGGGAGGGTACACGTTTTTGGTCGCCACCCTTGGTTTTTCTGTGCCCACCACATTGAGCTTTGGCTTATTCGGGACCCTTTCTGAACTATGAGAAAAGAGACAAACCGTCAAGTGATCGTCTTTGTGTGCACTGTTTGAAGCAGGTACGCATCTCCTTGAGTGCTGGGCACTCTTTTCCGCCTCTTACAGGAGGATCGATGACCTGCCGAACTCGTTGTTCCACACCAGTCCCACAACTGCCTTCGTCAGGTACGCATGGCTCCCATTCAGCCCATCCCGACACTCGACAGTCTCTGCCTAAAATAGGCCTCCTCAGAAGGTCAAACTCAGCAATCTGAGAAAGGTCGCTCGTGTACAGAGCCGCGACGCAGCCGTACGCAACAGCATGGCACCGCCCACTAGAAGAACGTACGTGGACACACGTAGGTGTAATCCGAACAGCAGTCGCCCAATGCAGTGCATGACTCGTCGCAGTAACAGTCGATTGGAGGAGCTTCCAGATACATGAATTGTGGACCTGAAAATCGAAATTTTATTTTTGTAGCTATGAATGAAAACAGAGGTTACCTTCATCCTCATCTGGTGTAGAGGGCGTTGTGGTAACTTTCAGAGGAAGGTGTTGACTGAGAATCGAGTATCTGAACGAGTTATCGATTGGCGGATGAATAGTTTATCGAATAG